CCAGTATCATAACAAAATAAATCATGTATGAATACTTTAAATCATACTTGCAACTGCACTGTGTGCTGTAACGTCCGGTACGTCGCACGGTGTGCGGCGCAGCACCTGCTCGTGCGCCGTACCAGCAGCAGTTTCCCTTTGTTTTGTTTTTTTTTTTCCGCTGTTTTTGTAGATACAGGAGAGTGCAACACCTAAGGAACTGATCGTTTTCGAGTACAGTGGTACAGGGTTTTCTTTCCGTTCAATTGGGCATGAGAAATAGCCTCAAAAAGGTGTCCGGGACATCAGTCTTGACCTTTAGCAAGTGGCATTACCCTCCCACTGTTTTATTTTTTTTCCCCAATCCCACAACAAATCTTGAAAGGGAACGCAGGTGACCATTGACCCAGCCATGCAACCCCCCGCTCATGCGCCAAACGTGCAGAATTTTCCGCACGGCGTCCGCTTGCATGTATGCTTTAAATGTGCTAGGCAGCGGGATCTTGCCTTCCCTTAGGGCCAAGTGCATTCTCTTGCCCGCTGCCTACCATGTGATTGGGGATCAAGCCAGAATTGCTCAATTGTATTGGCTCTCAGCAGTACTATAATGATGTCTTACGAATATTAAAAATGCGCTGGGCAGTGAAATCTGGCCTTCCCTTAGGGCCAAGTGCATTCATTTGCCTGCTGCCTGCTGTGTGATTGGACGTCAAGCCAGGATTGCACAGTCACAAGCTTCTCAAATCAATCAAAATATGTAATTTATTAATAACAAGTGGATGCCCACCGTAGCTGCAGCGGAGACCAAGAGAGGGGGGAGGGAAATCCACCGGTCTAAATTTCCCGAGTTCCGGAGTGTCACTGAGCGGCACTTGAGCAGGGAAAAAAAACCATAAAAAGAGGGGCATGTGCACCAGCCATCACTATAGTGCAATAAATCACAGTTTCCCAGCGGGACTGTACACTAAGTGTTCTGCTTTGTAGTTTCTGTTGTTGTTTTGAGCCTTGCGGGACTTGATCCCATGATCTGTAACCTGTGTGTTTTGTTTGTGAGTGTTGAGCCCTATGGGACTTTATCCCTGAGTGTTTTCACGTTTTCGTTGGCTGGGGAAACTCTGCCCGTCCGTTGTTGGAGCGCTGCTGCTCTATTTTGGGCGAGGTCATCGTCTTCCTCGAAGCCCAGCCATAGCTGGGGTTGGGAAATGACATCTTCCACTTGGCAGCCATATCTGCTGTTCCTCCTCTCGAGGAACTTTGTCGTCTTTGAAGTGCTGGATCGGTTGTCTCCTTCTTCATCAGGACTTCCAGCGCTGCACTTCCGTGCGGGTGATGAGCTGGCGCTGTTATCATTAGGGTTGTTGGTTCAGATTGGCACGTTGTGACAGCTGTGGGGTTACTGCTGCTATGGCAGCGATAGCCAGGGATATGAGGTGGCGAGGAGGAAGAAGAAGACTCCTGCATACTTCGTTGAACACTTGTTTCTGGTTGTTCGGGGTTGTTGTAATCACAGTTGTGATTCTTGGAACAAGTTCTCTGGATTGATTGGAGGAGGACGAGGGATTCCAGAATTGGAATTTGTTTTTCAATTCTCTGTGTGTTTTGAGCTTCTGCTGTGCATATCTTCTCTCCGGTTTTGTGTGGATTTGCCTCCTTCGAGTCTACTCTGCAATTGCATGCGTGTATGGGAACGTGTGAATTCATTGTGGATTGAAGTTCAATCGGGTACATAACAATAGCCTCCTGAATTGGGGCCACCTCCAAAGCGAAATCCAGGATACGTCGGGGCTGCCTAAACTACTCACCAAATGTGAAAACGAGAATGAATCTTCTGCTAGAACATGGCAGGATACACTGCCATATTTTCTGTCTTGTGTGCATGTTGTGAGTAGTGGAGTGAGGCCGTCAAGCACGGGTCTGTATTTGGAAAGTTCGTTTTTTTTTTGTGGGGGGGGGGGAAGTATCATGTGGATTCAGGCCCTCTCCACTGCTGACTAAATGTGCGAAATGAGAATGAATCTTCCCCTAGAACATAGGAGAATACACTGCCATACTTTTTGTCGTCCCACAGGGCCGTATCATGGTACGTGAAGTGGCAAATTCATTCGCGTTCTGCACAAGTGGTGAGTAGTGGAGCGAGGCCCTAAGTGCACCACAGCCTTCTATTGGCCTTGCTCCACTACCCTCCAGATGTGCAAAATGAGAATGAATCTTCCGCTAAAACATGAGATGATACAGTAATACACCACCACATTTTTTTCTTTTGTGCCTGCGGTGGGCGGTGTATCTTTCCATGTTGTACGGGCAGATCCGTTTTCATTTTCCCCATTTTGTGAGTTTGAGGTGCTCGTGAGAGCATGCCCTAAGAAAAAGACAAAAAAGGGCAAAACAAAACGTGAGCATGCCCTAAGAAAACAACCGGGAAAAAAGAAAAACGAAAAGACATCAACACAGCCCCTCTGTCTGCTATGTACTTGTATTCTAACGCTTAGGAGAGCAAAACCCTACACGACGCGTGCGCTTCCCAGTCCCAGCAGCCAGCGTTTTCGGCTGGGCCCAGCAGGGGCCCGTCATGTGAGACCCGCTCTTTGCTTTAGTTGTATAGAGATGAAAACGCGCTGGGCGAGACTGCCTGATCAGAAGCAGGCAGGACTGCTATGGACGATTTGTCATCTGGCAGTACCGACAGCCCAATGGCAGCCCCCCAAAAGCCTGTACAAAGATCAGGGTTGTACGGCGGGATGTGGCCAAGTGGAGACTATCCCGCATGCCTTCGTCGTCTTCCCTGTAGAGAGAGCTTTTTGGAATTGTGGGCATCCAAGATGGTGAGTTACTTCCCCTCGGAGGTAAACAGAAGATGATTAGCATAAATTTTGTTGGGGTCTATACTGAAGACAGCAAGGCAGGATAGAGAAACATTGTATGCGGCAGAAGTAATGCGAGCGGCTGTTCTTTGGGCTATCTGGAACCTGAGGAATGAGGAAGTAAATAGAGGAAGACATTCACGACGCAAGTCCTGAGGGACCGAGCTATGGAGAACGTGAGGATGGCCATCATGGTCGACCCCTACCAAGTAGCGATTGAGGAGGTATGCAGCCGGGGACGAGGAAAAGTACTGGAAATTTTGGTGGAAGTTCCCTATGCTGGTATGAAAGGACAAGGATGCAAGGCGGCTGGCATATGGCAGGCTGCTGCCGCCATAATCTCAACTGACCGAAGAAGTGAGGGGAGCATTGGCCTGTGTACAAAAGTTAGGGCCTGGGGCGTGAGCCACGACCAAGTTCATATCATGCGTCGCAACAAGTATAGGTTGCAGGATCAAGGACACCTGGGCAGTGGTTGTAATATAAGACTAGGGATTTGCGGGGTTTGCACTGCTGAGTAGCGAGGGAGGATCGGTTCGTGGGTAGAGGGAAAAGGTACTAAATCGTAGAAGGCGGTGGGGGGATGCAGGACAGTTGACTGAGTAGGTGCATGTAGAGGAATCGTGTGCAGAGGACGTGTAGGAATAAATATTTTGGTACAGGGAAAACAGAATTGAAAGCTTGTAGCCACTGGTGCTTGCGGGGGTGTAGGAAAAGAGGATATAGTGGAAAAATATAGCAAAGGTGGGTATGAGATGAGGCTGCAGGGGAATAGAGGGAGACTGGGTGTAAGGGGGAAAAGTGCATTGGAAGGTATGGGTGTAGAGGGACCAGGAGCAACTAATTGGTCTGCTGAGAAGGCAATACATATGAGTTGTCCCCCAGCCTGGCTTTTCGAGGGGCGCCCCAGCATGAGCACCCTGTTAGAAAGACCCAGATAAAGGGTCCATGCTTATATGTGTTACACCCCCTGGTCAGATGACTTGTACCGCAGGGGTAAGTCTCTCTCTCTCTCTCTCTCTCTCTCTCTCTCTCTCTCTCTCTCTCTCTCCCCGCCCACAAGTCCTGATCACCCTCTTCCTCTCTCTCTCTCCCCGCCCACAAGTCCTGATCACCCTCTTCCTCTATACTAAAGCTATGGTGCTTGCGCCCTTCTATAGCTATGATTACTGTCTCTCGCCGCTATTCTTGGCAGGCACTGTCTTCTGATTCCTGGCACCACTCCCGTCTTCTGATTCCTGGCACCACTCCCGCTCTCTACCTCAGGCACTGTAGCAGTGCTCTGGGCAACAGTTCATGCAAGACAATGAATTCACCAAGCGGGCAGTCTCCCAATATGTAGTGTTGACTTGTGGTCGACTGCCCCATTGTGCTCAGGTGTGCCTCAGCAAGGTCTCACTTTTGCTTCATCGAACGGCGGAGATTCCTCAATCAGGGTGCCCAGATTTGGTGTCCGCCACTGTGTGTCTGCCCCCAGCAGGCCCTGGGAACTTCTGGAACAGTGCAGAGAGCCTTTGATGGCCATGGTCGACTCTAGAGAAAGCTTGGACTCGTCGACTTCTGTGCCTGAGTTGGGCCTGACTCTTGGATTTCCAAGGTCAGCTACCCAATCCAAAGATCAGGGACCATCTTTGACTCTTGACCCAGTACCCTTTGACCCTTTGACCTTTCTGAGCCCTTTCTGGGCTAGAGACGTGACTTTGACCCCTGCTCTCAAAAGCTATACCGCAACACATGTCTGTGCAGATTTTTGACTTTGTTCTTTGCATGCATCTCTCTAACTATTCTAACCCCGGAGCCTCCCACCACCAACCACCACCACACTTCCCTTGGTCACCCAGATTCTGGCCCGGCTATGTGCCTTTCAAATTTCCACAGTGCTCTGTCCCTTCATGGAATTTCGTGAGCATTACCTTGGGATGCTTCAAGGGTGCCGAGGACAACTGCTGACATTTTCTCTCCTCCATCATGTCAACGTCCATTTGTCGATTTGTGGCCTCTTGCATCTCATTATAATACTATATGATTACATTTTTTTTCTTGCTGTAAGACTTCAGCAAACAATCGGCTTCTGTCCACTGGGAAACTACTCACAACAATACTGTACCTCTCTGATTTGTTTTTTCCCATACTCCCACTTGAAACTGCGGAATCCAACAGATCCCCGCGAATATGTATGGACTGATTGAATATCGATCACATCCTTTCTGGAGCGACAAGTATTGCCCCTCACACGAGAACGATGGTACTCCAAGATGCTGCGGCTGTGAGAGGCTTGAGGTGAGATTGTTGGAATTGGTCTCTCGTGCATTGTCCATCTCAACCCACACTGTTAGAAGAAACGTGAGAGAAAGTGTCATACTACCTAGCTCCTGTTTTTTCTTCTCTTTTCGTTGCTTTTCTTCTCTTTTTGGATCATGAACCTCCCGACTTCAGTTTGCTGTTGCGAATGCATCCATCTTTTTTTTTGTCTACTAGTGTGTTGGTTTGTATTGCGTGCAACGGTTATCCAGTGGCCTGTGCTTTTGTATTTATGTAAGCAGGCGATCACAATGAATGGCATTCACCACAACATTCAGCTTGTTCAGCTAAGTGGGGCCCCTTCATGTCTCCAGTGGATATCGGCTATGAAAATCCGGGCTCTTTTTTATTTTCAGTATTGTCTATAGAAGGGCACAGAGGGGGTATAAATGAGGCTAAAAGGGGCTTAAACTTTAAAGGGGTTAAAACGGGAGTACCTTAGTCTGATTTTTAAATTTTCTTTTTAATCTTCAGAAATTCTGATGTGCCAAAACTTCCCCGAAAGCTATTTGCGTTTCAATTCTATGCAACATAGTTCTTTTTCAGTTTTTACAAATTTAAAGACTGTTTTTGATTGGCACTGGGGCTGCTCAGAAATTCAAGGCCAGGATTGTCCGAAACGCAGGTTTCAATGTGAAATGCGAGAGCCCTATCTAAGCAACACGCATCGCTTTTCCCAAGTTTCTGGCCAGCCTAGCCATTGAAAGCCGCCAATGCTGTACTGTCAAACGGGCTCTCCTGGAGTGGCAGTGTCATTGAGGGCCCGATTGTGCCAGATGACACCGGCCTTTTTTTTTCTTCATCATGTGACTTTTCTTTTGCTTTTTTTTCTTTTTTCTTTTCCCGTTTCCCCACAGCATGCCCAGGCTAAAGTCCGGCCAATTTTCGTTTTCTTGTTTCATGCTGTGTTTTTGTTTTGTTTGCCAAGCCCTTTCTCAGGTTTTCATCGTTTCTTCAGTGTTGAATTTGCGTTGTGCTTCTCTCTGGGAATTCTGGATTTACTATTTGTGGAACTGAGACTATTGCACTACCCGGAATATATTAAAAGGGCCTTTACCCGATTCAGACCCTGACTGACGGGTGCAGCATAGTGGGGTCACTCGCCCAGAGCCCAACTCGTGAAAGCATATCAAAGGACATGTTCTCTGGGTCAAAAGTCACATCCTGGCTACGTAAAAGTCAATGTCAAAGGTCACAGTTGTGCCCCCACTCAACCTCCCCTTGGTCTACTGAAGCCTTTGCCAATCCCAACAGGTCCAGGAGACTCTGTGTCCATTGACTTTATGGACACGAAGGTGAAAAGCAGGAATGGAAAGACGCAAGTCATGGTCATTGTTGACAGATTTAGTAAGTATGTTGTATTCGTAGCCTTGCGAGCGAAAGCAAAAACGGAATTAGTAATCCGGGAATTCTTTAACCATTGGATGAACATCCCTTAACGATTGTGAGTGACAGAGATTCACGGTTCACGAGTCAACAATGGCAACAACTAATGAACATCTATGGCTCTAAGTTGATTATGTCGTCAGGTAGGCACCCTGAGACAAACGGCCAGACTGAGCAAATGAACAAGATTCTGCAACAAACGTTGCGTATGTACATACGTCCCGACCAGAGTGACTGGGACGAACATTTGCCCAAAGTTGCTAGTGCCTATAACAACTTTGTTCACCTGTCTACATGCAAGACTCCGATGGCGCTGCATTTGGGATGGCGACCACGTAGGCCCATTGATCTCCTGAATTCGGACCAAGTACATAAGCGTCCACTAGGAACAAGTGAATTTGCGATACAGTATCAGAAGGATATTGAGAAAGTGAAGGAAAATATAGTAAAGGCACAACATCAGATGATAGAACAGGCAAATAAGCACAAAAGGCCTTCTCAGTTTGTTGTAGGTGATTTGGTATGGGTGAAGTCTAAGGAGTTTGTTCCTGAAGAAAACATCTCTCAGAGGTTGCTACCCGCCTACAGAGGACCTTGGCAAGTTCTCGATGTGATTGGAGATGTGGATGAACCTTCTTATGTAATTGAGATTCCTCTACATTTGCATACACATCCAGTATTCCACGCCTCAAAGCTCTTACCTTGTGTGACAAATGAATTGTTTCCCAGTTGTCGATCAACGATACCTCCTAGTATGGATGGGAAATATGACGTGGATAAGATTGTTGCTGAAAGCACTCTCCAAACTGGACGTAGAGGCAGACCCCAACGACAATATAAAGTAAGATTTGCATATCAGGACCCAAGTGAAGATCGCTGGTTCACAAGAGAAGAATTAATTGAGTCTGCGCCTCATATTGTATCTGCTTATGAAAGAGCAAGAAGAGGAATAAATATTATAGATAGATGAAGGTTTTCTCAAAGGACTTCGAAACTAGGCCGGCGAGAGTAAAAGGGCCTTTACCCGATTCAGACCCTGACTGACGAGTGCAGCATAGTGGGGTCACTCGCCCAGAGCCCAACTCGTGAAAGCAGATCAAAGGACATGTTCTCTGGGTCAAAAGTCACATCCTGGCTAAGTAAAAGTCAATGTCAAAGGTCACAGTTGTGCCCCTGGACGAACAGTTGCAATATTTAGATATGGGAGTCACATCTGTTCATCCAGGGGGTGTGCAAGTCATGTCTGTTCATGCAGGAGATGTGTCTGTACGTGCAGTATGTGTGTTTGTTCGTGCAAAATGTGTCTGTTCGAGCAGTAGGTGTGTCTGTTCAAAGGAAGTAAAAAAGGTGAAGTCCCAGTCATTTAAGTCAAAGGGAAAGTCTAGATACAGATTGAAAGTCCAAAATTGAGGCCTGTAGGCCGCAGCAGCAGTGGACCCTGAGGATAAGGAACTGGGACACACTCCACAGAGGCCTGGGACTGGGAAATGACCCAAGACAGACTGAATTCAGACCTCGCAAGGGGAGGCCAGCACTATAAAGGATGAGGCAGCCTCCCCACAAGGCAGATTCCCATTGGCATTGATGCGTGGAAGTGCTGAGGCACTTGTGCGCTATAGTGCAGGGAGGTGCGCTGGCAGAAGAAGCTGCGCCAGAAGGGAGATGAGCTGGGCGCTGGCTACAGGGAAGCCATAGCTGCGCCAGCCTGAGTTAGTAATAGTAGAAGTAGTGGGGTTAGTAGTAGGATATCAGTGAAAGGGATTCATAGTATATTCTCGTAGACAAGGAGTGTGCATGTATAGTGAGAGAAGGGAGTCATTGACAGGGATCTTGAGAGAGAAGATAAAGAGAGAGAGAAGACAGGTTACAAAGTGGGACATGGTGAATACTTACCTGTTTGCGCCATACTTGTGATCTGAAGGGTGACGCTGGCTGAGCCAGGTCCTATGCTGACGAATGAGGGAAGAAAACTTGCATTTTGTTGGCGCTGAACTCTTGAACTCGAGATACTCTTGTTTAATGTGAATTTGATAATATGAGCTGCGCTATCTGGTTGCTATCTCATCTCGACTGTGGCTTTGTGTGAAGCTATCCTATCTGTGTGATGACGAATGTGCATGCAAATTTGAACACTCGAGCAAGTTATGAACAGTCAGGTTCCTTGCAATATCATCCTAATGGCCATAAATGCATTCCTCAGGAACTGCTAATGTAAGTCCATTAAATCGGTGGTAACTTGTAAGCCAATTCAGAATGATGAAATGGGAAGAAATAAATAAATAGCATACTTGCAAGCGGACGGACCGGACGAGCGTGCGGCACCCTCCCCCCGGACCGGACCGGACGGGGTCGTTTTTTTTTGTTTTTTTTGTGGGGGGGGGGGGGTAATTGGTCGTCGGGCGCACATTCGTGCGCCGCGCGGGTCTGGTCCGGCGGTCCGCCGCACGTGCGGAACCGCCCAGACGGCGTCCGCTTGCAAGTATGATAAATAAACAAATAAAAAAATAAAAAGAACGAAAAGAATGGAATCATTGAAGTGCAAGGAATATACCAAGGAGAGCGATAGACAGAAATCCAAATTGCAAAATCACGCTGTAGTCCAGATAGACATGTACCAAGCAGAGAGCACAATGCACCAAGATACCATCCAAATAAGACCACTACAGTGAACTCAAATGCCAATGCGGACGCTCTCTGGCCACAGCAACATAGTATCCAATGTCGCTCCGACTGATTGGTGCCCAGGGCCCAGCCTACACTATCTCACGTGGATATGCAGGCCCACCTTCACTTAGGGAGGGCACGAGTCGTGCTGGGGGCCTAAGCCCAGAATGTCTGTGTGCCTGACGAGGGCCTTTGCGGGGGGCTCAATCCTTGCAAAAGTAACAAGTTATTTGGCTCGCTGAGGCTAACGGCCACGGGCAAACACACCCGTGACTCGCTGCATCTCCGTGTCCACATGGGAAGCACGCACAGATTTTCCATGCATATGTCACACCGCCGGAAAAAAGCCCACCTCCTGTGGGCACATGTGTGGGTTGGATGGGCAAAGGTATATGGAGTGGGGTGTCCAAACGCCCGGCCCTTCTTATTGAAAAAAAAAATCAAGAAAACAAGTCCATCTGGCCGACCTCGCAAGGACATAGCCACACCACCATGTTGGAAACTGTGTGTAAGTGCAATTCCAGCCCGACATGGATGAATCTGATGACAATAACGTCTAGAGCATTGCCAAAAAGGTCCCAGTGTGAGTATGCCCTAAGATCGTTTTGCGCAGGGAAATAGAGCTCCTCACACCAGGACATTTCTTGTAAGTTGTGGAGGTCAGTGCTGCCAGAAACATCGAGGTCTGGCAGTAAATGTGGCCAGATACATTCAGACAGAGCCAGTGTGAGTATGCCCTAAGTACCTCGCACCACTCATCACATGCACAGGAGGCAAAAAGTATGGCGGCCGGAAAAGAAACAAAAAAAAAGAAAAACAAATAAATGGCGGCGTATCTTTCAATGTTCTAGCAGGAGATTCATTGGGCCTCGCTGCTACTTTCCACATGCACAAAAGAGAAAAAAAATGGCAATATATCCTTCCATGTT